CACACACACACACACACACACACACACACACACACACACACAGACACACACACACACACAAAAGTATGCACACCCACACAAGCTCACGACGTTTGGACACAACGCATGCGCACACGCACCCAAAAGCAGCATGCGCATGCACGCGCAGCGCGCACATGTGTGCGCACACGAACATGCACGTGCAATCATCACACGCGTGCGGGGCACACGTGCGACCGCACCTTGTGCAGCGCCTGCTGCGCCTGCATGCAGAAGGCCACCGCGTCCTGCGCGTCGTGGAACGCCACCGCCCAGCTGTCGCCCTCCTGTTCGAACACGTGGCCCGCGTGGAAGTGGGCCGCCTTCTTCAGGACGGCGTTGTGCAGGTTCAGGGCCTTGGTCGTCAGAGAGGGGCTGGTCTTCATCAGCTCTGGGGGCAGACGGTTGGAGGGCGGTTGGGACGGCGGTTGGTGGCGGTTGAGTGGTGGACGGCCGCGACTGAGCCGTCCAACGGCCTCGGGCCCCTCAACAAGGGGGCCACTCCAAGCAGGCGCGCTCCGCCATGGTCAGACGCGCTCGTGTGACGTGCGCGCGGCCCTTCTCACACTGGCTGCAAGGACGCGCAACCCGCGACACAGGCAAGTGCGCCCGCGCCGCCGCCAACTCAGCAGGGCGCGAGCGGTGAGTCACCTCCCCACCTGAGTAACCCTCGATGTCGGTGACGACGACGCTGATCGTGCCGCCGCCCTTTGGCGACCCCCGGGCCCGCTTCCGTTTCAGCTCCATCTCGCGCGCCCATCGCGTCCTGAACAGCACCAGCCGGCTCCCCAGGCTCAGGATCGCCGCCGCCAACACCGCGAGAACGGCGCCGAGCGCGACAAACACCCATGCCCACGGCGGCAGCGGCTGCGATTTGGGGTTGGCCTCGCAGGCCAGGTGGGTCCCATTGCGGGTCCAGACCTCCCGGAAGCCGGAGAGGCAGCGGCAGTTGGCATACTGGTAGTAGGACGGCGACAGGTCCCACTGCTGCTGCTCCGCCTGCACGGCATCGTCGAGCAGGCCGAAGGCCGACCCCGTCCTGCAGTCCACCTGCGCCTCCGCCTGCGGCTTGCGGCGGACGGGGAAGCAGCGCATGTTGCTGCTGTCGCTGCGGGGGATGTCGTACTCCGCAAATTCCAGGAAGCACGGCAGGCGCTTCTCGGGGTTACACTTGGGCCACCAGCCGCCGGCGGCGGCGGCGCCGGTCGCGCCCGCGAGCGAGGCGTTGAGCGCGGCCTCGCGGGCGCGCTTGGCGGCGACGACCTCCTTGGCAGGCACACAAGACATGTTTGTCTTTGTGGCGCTGAGGCGCTGGAGGTATCTGGGGGCGGTCAGAGCGGATGAGAGTGTGTGCAGGGTGTGTGGGTCAGAGTTTGAGTGTGTTTGTTTGTACATGGATGTGTGTGTGCGCGTGCGTGTGTGTGTGTGTTTGTTGGTGTTCGCATGTGTGTGTGTGTGTGCTGCTGTGTGTGTGTGTGTGTGCGCGCGCAAGTGTGTGCTGCTATGTGTGTGTGTGTGCGTGTGTGAGTATTGTCTTTGGTGTTTGTGTGTGTGTGTGGGGGGGGGGGGGGTGTAGGGCGAGGGGAAAGAAAAAGTCTGCATGTGCAGGTGCTCTGTGGTTGCGGGACGCACCACCAGCCACGCTGCAGGCACTCCTGGGGCCGCCATAAAAGCTGCGCTGCGCAACCGATTCAGCCCCATGCGCAGGGCCGCCCGCGGCCTGGTGAAACGGGGCGCCGCGTTGAGGCGTGCGCCGTGCGTTGCCGTCGCGCGCGCCGGGGCCCGCACCGCAGGAACGCGGCGTCGTTGGGCATGGGGCCGATGAGTCCTGTGTTGTTGGACAGCATGAGCTCCGTCAAACTGTACGCTAGCCTGGGGTAAATGGAGAAATAGGGTGCAGGGTGGGCGGGTGTCATTGTGGGAGGGTGTGTGCTTGAGTGTGTGTTCGTGAGTGTCTGTTTGTGTAAGAGTGTGTGTGTGTGTGTGTGCGCGCAAGTGTGTGCGAGTGTGTGTGTAAATATGTGTAAGGTCGCCCGTGCAAAGTCAACAACAAGCTCCACTTGGGTCGCAAACCCCCAACTAGGCGCCACGCTGCGCGAAAGCAAGCTGGATGCCAGAAGAAATCCTCCCCTCCCGTGTCCCCAATCCCCCGCTGCTGCCCGCACCCGATAGACTCGCTGATCGTGCCCTCAAAGTTGTTGCCGGCGAGGTTGAGGCGCGACAGCTGCGGCAGGTAAAAAATATCGGGGCCCAACTGCAGGGCGGCCGGGGTCGCAGATCAGGGATGGTCGGCAGGCAGGTGGTTTATGCCGGGGAATCACAAAGGGGAGCCGTCCAGACGGTGGGGAGCAGCCGTCGCGGCCCAACGCGTGGCCGGGGCCGGCTGGCGGGGGTGGTTGGGACGTCCGGGCAGGCGGGGGTCGTGCCGCGCACCTCTCCGGACAATTGGTTGTGTGACAGGTCGAGCTCGGTGAGGTATGTCATGAGGTTGATGTTGATGTTGATGGTGCCGGTCAGGCTGCGGGGTGGGGTTGGGGTTGGGGGATAGGGGCAGGGGGTCAGCGGCCACAGCAGGGGGAGGGTCCGATGGAGCTTTGGGGTTGGTGGTCAGCGATAAATGCTGGGGTTTGAGGAGGGGTTTAATGGTGCGAGGTGGAGTTGCAGCCACGCAAACTAAGTTCAAGTAGGCACACCAGGGCAGGGGTCTGGGGTGGGGCGATTGAATAATAGCAGGGCCACGACTGGCCTTGTATACAAGTCCTCATAAGCAACCAAAGCACGGAGGCCAGGGGAGCCGCAAGGCTCGCAGCAATCCTGCTTTACAAAAATATTGACCGCAAGCTCAAGTTTGGGCCGCATGCGTTTTGTGACCTTGTGGGCACCCAACCACATTTTTCAAAATCACTGACGGCATCGAGTCAAGATCACTGCACAAGTCAAGATCACTGCGCACCGGTTGTCGCTGATGTCAAGGTAGGCGAGGGTGGGTGCGAAGTAAATGTCAACTGGGATGGTTCCCTCAAAGTTATTGTTTCCGAGGGCCAGCTGGACCAGCTGCTCCCATCCCTGTGGTGGTGCACGGGAGGGTTGGGCGGCGCAGGGGCACCGTCACGGGCGCACGGCCGACCTGAGGGTTCGCGGGACCAGCAAATGCATGCCTGTGCTGTTGCGCCCTCGCGCACGCATTCCGCTGAGTCGACCAAACACGTCGATGCATGTGCGCGCGCATGTGGCTCCAAGAGTGCTGGGCGAGGCCCCGCGGTTTAGTTGCTGGATCAGGCGTACCTGGGTGGCCGGCGCGCTGCCGGTGAACTGATTCATCGACAAGTCCAGCTGAGTCAGCTTCGTGCAGTTGACCACGCCGGCCGGCGAGCCGGTGAGGCGGTTGCTGCGCATGTTGAGGACCCGCAGGCGCGTGGTGGGGCCGCAGAGCTGCCGCGGGATGGTGCCGCTGAGAGCGTTTGTCTGCAGGCGGCGCGGCACGCGGGCGCCGCGTGTGGAGGGTGGGGGTCAGATGCGGGACCAAGCAGGAAAAGAGCAGATTCATCGCCCTTACACCCGCCCTGCCGCCCGCTGCAAGCTCCTGCCGGGGATTGCAGTCAGCGCCCTCCGCGCGCCCACGCACAGACGACAGTGCTCGCCCGTAGTGCTGCCACTGCCTTCCGCCGCGGCCGCTGCCGCCGCGCGGGCGGCAGCCATCGCTAGTCGGGCCGCTGCTGCCGCTGCTGTTGCTGCCACGTGGTCAGCATGCACGGTCTCGCACGTTCCGCTCTTCCAGTGCAGTGCGTCAAACAACCTTCCTGCCACCTCAACCCCAGCGCGTGGCTGCGGCCCACGCAGGCATCCCGCCGCTCGCCTCCTTTCGCGTTCTCTCTCTGCCGCCCCCATGCATCCCCGGCCGCCTCGCCCTCACTCCCTGCCGCTCATCGCCCCGCGCTCGCCGTCGCGGCGACCGCTGCCCCCCTCCACCATGCAGACCGGCTGCTCCCCGGGCCCGCGGCGACCGGCCCCCAATTTCATCCCTTCCTCCCTGCCCAATCCCTGCGCTCGGCGCCCCTACCTCCCCAGCCACAGCCCGTGTGCCCCTCCCAACTCTCAACCCCCAGCGCCCCGCACCTGCAGGTTGAGCTCCACGAGCTTGGTCAGCTGCGCCACGCCCTGCGGCACCGTGCCCACGATGCCCGCGAGCTCCTCGCCCGTCACCGGGTCCGGCGGGTTGACGCCGCTGTTGGCGCCAAGCTCCAGGACCTCTAGCCCGACCAGGCCGCCCACCCAGTCGCCGATCGTGCCGCTCAAAAAGTTGGTGCCGAGGCCGAGGCGGCGCAGGCGCGTGAGCTTGGCCAGGTCGTCTGGTATCGTGCCGTTAATCCAGTTGTTGGCTGGGGGGGTGGGGAAAACATAGTGTAATTTGGGGTGAGGAGGAAGCGTACAAGATAGGCTGAGGGCGGTTCGGGTGGATGGTTGTGGGGGCGCGATCCACGGTGCCATGCGCGGGCCAGCGAAATCAGCACATGCCCGCGCGGCGCGGCATGTTGGCTCGCCGCTGCTCCTCACACTGCTGGCCAGAGCGCACACGGCACCACTCGCGGTTGGTCGCTGGGGGTGCAGCGCCAGAGGCACCAACGCGTACATCGGCGCGGCAGCGGTGATGCCGCCCGCTCACCCAAGTCCAAGATCACGAGGTTAGTCAGCCGCCCCAGCCGCCCTTGGGGCAGCGCGCCGCCTATTTCGTTGGCCTCGAGGTTGAGCACGACCATGCCGCACGCGTGTAGCTGGTCGAGCACCCCGAGGAACCGCGGGTCAGACACGCTGCAGTTGACCTGGTTAACCGCCAGCGACAGGTTTGCGATCGCGTGCACCACTTTACAGCGCCCCGCCGCCGCGTCCGCGGGGCCGCAGCAGGCGATGCCCGGCCACTGGCAGTACGCGGGGCGCGCGGCGGCGGCCGGCGTGACGAGGCGGGCGCAGCCGAGCGTCTGGGTGAGCTCCCAGCCGGTGGTGTCGTTCCACGGGTTGGAGGCGTTGTACGACGCGTTGAAGAACACGCCCAGGGACTCGCACAGCGCGCGCTGGCAAGGGATCGTGCAGACGCCCCCCACGACCCCGGGGCAGCTGGGCATCGGGGGGAGGCCATCGCCGCCCGCCCCGGGCGCCGGGGCCGGCGCGCCTCTGCCGCCGCGGCCGGCTGCGGCGGGCGGGGCGGCTGGCGACGGGGGCGCTGTCTGCTGCTGCTTCTGCTGGGCCGCGGCGGGGGCCAGCACTGCGCGGCGCCGCGTGCGCGATGTGCGCGGCGTGAGCTCAAGTGCACTTCACGAGTGCTGCGGGCGCTGAGAGCAGCTGTGCCTCGACGCGGCGGGGGGCCTGGCAACGTGAATGGGGCCTAACAAATCACATCTTTGACTCGATGCCCCCGGCTGGCTTTCAGCATCACCGCGCCGCGCCCGGATGGCCCGGCCCTCTCACCAGACACGACCGTGAGCCACACCACCAGCACTACCACCGCAGCCCGCGGTATCATGTAGAGCCTAGTCACTCCCCCTTCAGGACCAAGCTATGAGAAGGTGGCCAGATCATGGCTTCTGCGCGTCGCTGGTAGAACGTCATGATTCGCTTAACCTCATCAATTGCACGTTTCTGTGGTCGCACTGCTTGCTAGCATCCTAGGAGGTCGTCCTGACTCATCATCAAGGTGGACACGGTTCGCCTGGGCAAGTGACGACGCTTCACAAGCGTAATTCGACGTTGGCATCACCCAAATCTATAGACTAGCAGAAGGGACGGCGCGCATTACTCACCCCTGAGTTGGGGAAAGAGCGGCACCTGGTGCGCAGAGGATGAGGCCGGTGGGTAGTTGCGCTATCCAGCCCGACATGCTCACCAAAAAGGTCCCATATACACCGTGCTGACACAAGCACACGCGATCAAGTGCGTGGTGCCCATTGAAGCAACCAGCAGCACAGTTGCAGTTGTGACAACACCAGCTGTCCCTTCTTTCCGGATTGGCCAGTGCTCATGTAATTTACAGCTCGCTGATGCGCTCTTGTATGGCAATGCCTGTGTGACGGGCACCCTCTTGTTGCAATAGGAACACCTAAGCATGTGCGAGAGCGGGAAGTGGGGGTCGCACAAAAAACATTGGTGTGTGAGCGGGCAGAGCGCGCCGTCGAGTAACCAGGCTTGCGGTGCAACCCCCGTTCGACCCTCGTTACCTCAGAGCACACAGGCTGTGACCGGCGCACCTTGTCACCAGCCGCCAGCTGGGACACAGAGACGGCTCGCCAGTGGCTGCCGTCGCCGCCGCTCGTGCCGCGGCCGCCTCGTTCGCCATCGTGGACGCCATCCCCGCCGGACCGCCCGACCAGCCGCACAGTCTCCGCGTTCTGCAGCAGCGTGCTCACGGTGCCACCGGCTCCGCCTGGCAAGGTCGCCTCAACAAGAACCATCGGGCGCGCCTCCACCTTGCAGCGCCCGACAACGGCTGTCCGAGTGCGGCCCGCCGCGTCCGCCACCAGGACTTCGCTGCCGGACTTGAGTTCGGACAAATAGGCGGTTTTGCCTCCTGGCACCATGATGTAGGCGTGCACCTGTGCCGGTGTGATTGGCAGGGCGCGCAGTGCGGGGGCTGAGCTGTTGTGGGGGGGGGGGGGAGGAGATGGGATCTAGAAGTGCAGAGCCTGCGGTGTGCGCTGGATGTATACCCAGCCCTGTACAACCTGATGGGAAATTATGTAATGGTGCGGTCACCTGGCACCCTGCAATGGGCACCGGGGAGCGACCCAGGACTCACCGCGCCGGCGTTCACGCGAAACGGTCGGCTGGGGGCACGTGCAGAGGTTTGGCGGGTGTATTTGTCAAGGACAATGACTCAGCAGGATGCCATTTCGCTGCTGGCAGGCAGCCGAACTGCACACCGACCCTGACAGAGGCGTGCATATGGTGGGTCTGCGACTGGTGGGGCTCCTTGCCTTGCTTTCCCGCCCGCCCACCTGTTTATATATGCGCTCTCCATGCACTGCGGGTGCAAGCAGTGTTCGCAGTACAGGGTGTGAGGGGCGGCACATGGCGCACGCAAATTGTCCCCACTTGCTCCAGGGGGGGGATGGGTGAACGATCCACCCCTTTCAGATAGGGCATAATTTTCCACGCCATACGTGGCCTCTGGCAGCCAGTGAACCAACATGTGAAGTAGACTGCATCGAGGCAAGTATCCAGCCAGCTGAGCAGGCAACCAGCTAAGCAGGCAGGCAGGCACGCAGGCAGGCAGGCAGGTGGGCAGGCGGGCAGGTAGGCTGGCAGGCAGGCAGGCAGGCAGGCCGGGCGGGCCACCCCTCACTCACCTCCGAGTGCACCAAGAACAGCGCCCGCGAGAAGCTGCCGACCAGCATGCCCTCGCCGGGGGCCAGCATGCTCGCGAGGTCGACGCACACGCGGTCGGCCATGCCGACAGGCGACACGCGGGTGATCGTGGCCTGTGACAGCGCGAGCGCCGAGGCGCCCTGCTCGCGGCGGCGCTGCAGGTAGCCAGAGATCTTCCTGACCTGTCGTGCGCAAGAAATGAAGCGGCGGGGCGCATCATTCAGACGACCGGCCGTGCATAAGCTTGGGGGTTCTCAAGACAGCCTTCTAGACAACAATGTGCACACAGCCGGGCGCCCTCGGCTGGCATAGAGGGGAGTGGCAAGGCTGAGGGCGGCAGAGGCGCAGTATGAGGCCCAAAGGGCGAGCACCCTGATGAGCGGGGCGGGGGGCCGCAGGGGCGCACCTCTGAGGGGTCTTCCGTTCGCAGCAGCACGCCGGCGGTCCCAACCTCCAGCGCTTCGGATGGCGAGGGGCGTCCCACAGCGGGGCGACAGCCTCACCATCTGGTACGCTTGCAGCTTGCAAGAAGCAGCTGCCAGTTAAGGCCCCTGCCGATCATCAAAATACATTCACATCCATGACACGCGCTGTGCGGCTCGCGCGCCACCCCTCGCAGGCTGTGATGCAGAGCCGAGCCGCGCGTCAGGCCCGCGCCGTGGCTGCGCCTACCCTCAAGCATCACCCGTGCATCGTCTGCAGATGTTGCTGCGCCTATGAGCTTGGCACTTCCAGCTTGAAATGCGGCCACCAGGTTCTCTGCAGGAATCACCTAACCGCATGGTGTTGCATTGCAAGGCGTTGCATGGCGCAGCGCGGTGCTTGCATGGCACTGCATGATGTGACGTGGCATTTAAGTGTATTGCGGGGCATGGCATTTGCTAATTTGCATGATGTGGCTTGGCGACGCAGTGCAGCGCATTGCATGCCGTTGCGTCTGCATGGCGTGGAGTGGCATGGCTGGTATGGCAGCCAACAACCAAGTGCCTGATTTGCAGGGCAGGCAAGCCTTCGCTAGAGCCCCCCGCTGCAACAAACATGTGTCGAGTCGCGCAGCCTCGAACTAGGCGGCCACAGCTTGCACTCGGGCAGCAGCCTTCTTTTGAGCGCCGCCATCAAGTCACAGCAACGCACATCATGAGCCGTCAAATCCCACCTTCCAGGCTTCTGCGGCGCAGTCCATCACGACAAATCCACCAGAATTGGATAGCTTCTCTGCAGCTGCCAGGTCCTCCTTTGCCGCCACGCGCACCAGCACACCCACCTGCGAGCGGGGCAATGGCACCAGATAATCATACACGCAGTTGCCTGAACAGAGGGGCGGTTGTGAAAAGGCTTCTTCAAAATTGGTGTTTGTGTTCCATCATGACCCTTTGCGTCTGTACTGAGCGTCGTCATGCTTAAGGCTGGGTCACTGCTAAGGTCGTTGCTGAGCTTTGTGCATGGTCGGCTGTTGGGCCGGCTGGGGCATGTGGGTGGCAGGATTCAATGAGCGCTGCATGCGGCATACAGGCCCTAATGATCAGGCAGTTGAACCCAAACATGCATCGTGCGGCCCTCATTCACACCCGAGTACACGCAGATTTACCTGCTCGCCGGCATCTGACGTGATGGTCCCGCCCGCAGCCGTGCGCAGCGGTGTGAATCGAGCTAGGTCCTGCCACCGCTCCAGCTGCTGGGGCCACATTGCGTGGTATGGGCGGGGTTGGCGGGTGAGCGTTTGAGCTGAGGCCGAAGCCATGCGCTCTTCAAATGCGCTCTTCAACTTCCTCAGCATCGGTCTGGCTGCTGTGTTGCTTGCGGATGCTTGCTATGTGATGTGTGCTGGCCTCGCAAGCACTCACCACCGTGTCCATATCCGGCCCAAACAGAAATGTGTCATGCCCGCTCTCAATGGCCGTCGTCAGCACGTCCTGATTTCGGGTCTCAATCCACAGCTGCTGCTGTTCGCCCTGCGCTGCACGGATGCCACCGCGACTCCGCCGCCAATGGGGAGGGGCGAACGCACTCCAGGAACTTGCACGGCATCCCATTATTACATTGGGTCTCATCATCACAGGGTATGCGGTGGTACCTGGCACTGGTCAGGATCAGCAATCGATCGCGGTGGTCACCCTTTCCACGATCGGGTGTTGCTTTATACGTAAGACACGTCAAACAAGAAGAGTGGCTGATCTTCTTGCGTATGTTTATGCTACCACGCGTTGATACATGCTCTGCTGAGTAGGAGTACAGTAGCACATGGTGGCCGGCTCAAATCGCTTCTACGCCCCACAACATATGACAAACATTTGATAGGGTCATGCCCGCGTTGTCATCGCGTTTGTAAGCACCCTAACACGCTCAGTTTTGCATAGGGCAGGCCAATCCTGCCGGCGCCAAGCAAACCCGCGGGCGAGGTGGCTACGCTCTGAGACTACCCTATTGAGTCTGCGGGTAGGTGGTTGTGCCCACGCTGAACCCCGCTGGGCCTAACATCAGCGGGGAACAACACCCCCGCTGACCCTGGGAGTGTGACTCCACCGTGGACCCGCACTGGGCCGAGGATGAGCAACGCGAGGTTTCAAGCGCATTATCAGGCGGGCCAGCCGGCTAGCGGTCCGAGCGGAGCAATTAGGGCGCCAACCTGGCACGCCAGCTTCGCGGCGGCAGCATTGGCACCAGCATGCGCGCGGCCCGCGCCCCGGGCCCCGCATTCTGCACCTCACTCATACAACCTTCCGCCGCGCCGCGCCCCGCCGGGGACGTGCCCTCGCAGGCTTTCTGAGGCCCGCAGCCGGACTGCCGGGATGGTGTTCCACCTGGCGGCCCCTTACATACAGGACCAGCTCAGCCTGCGCTCGTGGAAGCCGACCGGGACGCTGACCGTGCGCGTGAAGTACCGCGGGCCCTTCCGCCTGCCCGCCGTCCGCGTCATTGGCGTCCTCTCCGGCCCCGCGCAGCCCGAGCGCCTCGCGGGCGCCAAGGCGCGCGCCCCCGGCGGCGGCGGCGCTCCTGGCCCCGAGCGCGCCGCGGCCGCGGCCGAGGCCGCGGCCGTGGCGGCGCAGAGCGTGTTCTGGGGGCAATCCAAGGAGATTGCCAGCTCGGCTGTCTCTATGTGGAACACCATGGTCGAGACGCACACCGCACGCTGGTCCCAGTCGCTGCAGACCCTGCAGCGCGTCAGCAGCCGTCTGTTCCGCTCTGTGAGCCACGACAGCGTCGCCGACGCGGGCTTCGGCGGCGGCCCCGCATCCACGTCCCCCACGTGCGCTGCGCCAAGCAGCGAGGAGCCCTCCGGCGGCGGCGCGGCGGCCGCTGCCCCCGCTGGGTACCAGCAGCGCGGAGACGCCGCGACGGCGGCGGCAGCTGCGGATGGCGCCGCGGCCTCCGCGGAGCACGTCGCGGCGCTCGCAGAGCAGGAGGCGCTGCTGCAGCGCCAGCTGGAGCAGCTCGGGCAGCTGCAGTCCAGCCTGGCGCAGTTTGTGACGACCGCGTCGCGCAAGGAGGTCCACCTCGCGCGCATGCTCGCCGACCTGTCGAACATCGCGTATGACGTCACCCAGATCGTGGATGACGCCGCCCTGCTGGAGTCGCGCCACGGCCTCCGGCTGGTCGCGTGCTCGCACCCCGAGCACTTTGGTGCGGCCGCGCTCGCCGGGGGCTACGCGTGCCCGCTGCCTGCCAACGGCGGCGCCGCGGCCCCGCTGCGGCACGCGGCCGGCGGCGGCGGCGGGGTGGTGCCGGCGGCGGCGGTCGGGGCGGGGGACACGGAGGGGGACGCGGAGGCGCTGTTCGAAATGCAGCTGCACCCGCAGTGGGACCAGTGGCTGCACTGGGAGGCTGAGGACGAGGCGTCGGCCCCCCTCCGCGAGCCGCTCGGCGCCGCCGCCGCCGCCGCGCCTGCGGCCACCTGCTGGGATGAGGGCTCGGCCGGCCTCCACGGCGGGTTCGAGTACAGCGGCGGCGGCGGCGCGCAGGCGCCCATGTCCCCGCGCGCGCCGGTGGTCGTGTCGGCGATGGCGGTGATGGAGGAGGGGGAGGCCGCAGCGCCCGTGCCAGCTTCGTGCTGCGCGGCGCTGAGCCCCGCCAGCGGCACGGCCGCGCCGTCGCGCGCGAGCCGCGCGAGCTCGGACGGCCGCGGCGACAGCGGCGGCGCGCCCGCGGCCGCGCAGCTGTGCAGCAGCACCGCGTTCGACTGCGCTCTGCCCGTGGCGCCGGCCCTCGACCACCAAGCGGCCACGCAGCTCTTCGCCGCCCACCACGCGCCGCCGCAGCAGCAGCAGCAGCAGGAGCAGCAGCAGGAGCAGGAGCAGCAGGGCGCCGCCCATTCAGCCGCGCCCGCGCTCGACGCAGGCGTGCCCGAGGCGCCCGGCCAGCGGCAGCCGCAGCCGCAGCCTCAGCCGCAGTACCCCGCAGACTGGTTTGTGTGCGATGCGCCGGCGGGCGGCGCGGCGGGGAGCGGCCCGACGCGGTACATTGTGATCCAGGGGTCGATCACCGTTGACCACTGGCGCATCAACCTGACGTTCGACCCGGTGCCGTTTGTGGACGGGTCAACGGGGGTCAAAGTCCACAGGTGGGGGCAAGATGGTTTGTGGGGCGCTTGATGGGTTTGTTTCTGTTTGTTTGTGTGTGTGTGTGTGTGTGTGAGTGTGTGTCTTTTGTAGGGTGTGTGTGCATGCAAGTACACGTATGTGTGTGTTCACCAGGCGTGCGTATGTGTGTCAAGCATGCGTGCGCTTGTTTGTTTGCATCGCGCTTCGCTGCGCTGCGCGCGGCTCGGCTCCCCCTTGCGGCAGCGCGCGCCCTGCGCCCGCCTGGGCCCACCACCAACCCCCGGCCGACC